GAGATCAAAGCTTTGAATGGTGTAATTTCTGGCCTTAGGGAACTGGTGAAGTAAGGGGGCTTTGGGATGGGCTTGAGGCTTTTCCTTACCTCTGCCTAGTGCACCCATCAAGCACCCTGGTGTAGGTTGGAGGACCCAGAGGTAGGGCTGGGGCACGGGTGGCTTGGTGGAAGGGTGCTCATTTTGCCTGCATTTTACAATGCCCTCTCTCTCTCAGTCCCTCCAGGTTCCACCCCGTGCCCCGCAGGGTCCCTGAGTATTATGGCCCCTACTCCTCCCAATACCCTGATGATTACCAGTACTACCCACCAGGGGTACGGCCAGACAGCATCTGCTCCATGCCTGCCTATGATCGGATTAGCCCACCCTGGGCCCTGGAGGACAAGCGCCATGCCTTCCGTAATGGGGGCAGCCCTGCCTACCAGCTGCGAGAATGGAAGGAGTCCACCAGCTATGGGCGGCAGGACGGCACTGTCTGGATTCCTAGTCCCTCCCGGCAGCCTGTCTATTATGATGAGCTGGATGCGGCCTCCAGCTCCCTGCGCCGCCTGTCCCTGCAGCCCCGGTCTCACTCAGTGCCCCGCTCACCCAGCCAGGGCTCCTACAGCCGTGCCCGCATTTACTCCCCTGTCCGTTCACCCAGTGCTCGTTTTGAACGCCTGCCACCTCGCAGTGAAGACATCTATGCTGACCCTGCTGCCTATGTAATGAGGCGATCCATCAGCTCCCCCAAGGTAAGCCATCAGCCTGCCCTTCCTTCCCCACCCCAGAGACTCCCAGAAGCTTAAGACCATCTGCTGAGAAAAGGCAGAGATCTGAGGGCATCTGGGACACAGGGCCACTGGGCTATGTGTACACAGGACCAGCAATGCTGCCTGGGGAGCTGCTGGTCTGCAACTTTGTCCCTAGGAGAGCTGCTTTGGGGGATTTCTTTGCCCCCACCCCGTGTGGGCTCTCTGTGCCCTGTCCCAGGTTGTGCCAAGAACCATGCGGTCTTAATAAAAGAGGGAAGAGAGGGTTTTGTCTTAGCAAATCTTGAGGACCAGATAGATCATCATGAGGGGGGTGCTGCTGTCCCTTTGGTTTAGCATCTGCTCTGGGACCAAATACAAACACCCCTAACCTTAAGCTTCAACTGGTAGGGAAGTCTGTGTCCCAGCTGGACCCCTCACCTCTGCGATCCCTTTCTCTTCCAGTATGATTACCTGGGAGACAGGCGACCAGTCCCTGCAGGACTGTTCCCCTACAACTACCCACCATCCCCCACGGTCCACGATAAGATGGTACGTCCTCTCCTGCCCTCCACCCCACCTCAGGACCTCCCTTCTCTGTCTGCACCCAGAGTGGAGCTAAACTGGGGCAGACTCCAGAGATGACCTATGCCCAGTACCTGGCCCATCTGTTTTTGGGCAGCCTCTGGATATCTCCTCCCTCACGGCCAACACCGTAGCTCAAATACCAAGTTTGGTGCCAGTGGCCCTTCTCCTCTGTGACACAGGGCAGAGGAGCATGGATGAGACCTGGGTACATGTAATACCCTGGTCCCCTCACCTCAGCACAGCTCTCTTGTCTAGCATGCAGGAGAGAGGGCCTGAGCAGGGGATATAGGTTATGGACTGGGAAGCTTAGAGCCCCCCACAACAGGCAAGACCTTTTACATTTACTTCCTGTAAGTGTATTTGTTTCCAGTTCGTCCTTTGCCTGGAATGCTATCTTTAGGGAAAGAAAGTAGTGTCATTGAGAAAGAGATTTTCCATAAGGCATCCTTTTTTTACCCCCTTTCTGCTCAGTGTCTCTCCCTGGAATTTGTTCTCCTGAGAATTTTTACAACCACTTGGAGAACTATATGCAGATGCTGCCCTTGGGTGGGTAGGGGAAAACTACTGAGACCAACAGATGGACTCCTTGTCCTCCAAAGCCTGTGGCTAACCCCTCTCCATGATAGCACCAGGAGGCCAGAGGAGGCCTAGCAGGCCTGGAGGCTGCGGCTCCTTTCTCAGTCTGATTCTCACTCTGCCACTGTTCAGACTCTGTAGCCTTGACCCACAGCAAATGCACCATCCAGTAACAACCCATTTTCCCAGAAAACTTAGAAATAGCTGCTAAAAATGCTGCCTAAATTGCTCTGGCAGAGCTCACCTCTCCCAGGGAGGCCGAGACAGACCTAGGAGAGATGGGGTTGGGGCCTGGCGTACATCCCTCCTGTCCATGAGAGTGTCTGGTAGAGAACTAATTTGCCTACCAGCACCCCGCTTCCCCAGAACTCTTCAAGGGCAGAGAGAGAGAGACCTCTCCTTGTCCAGCTCACTCTTAACTGCTTTGCTTCTTTTTTATTGTTTTCTTTTGTGTGTTCCTGTTTGTTTGTGTTGCTGTTTGGCCTCTGGGCCTCGGGCTCCGGGTAGGATGAACTTTTAGATCTTCAGTTGCAAAGAAACCTAGAGTATTTGGATCAGCAGGTAGGCAGAGCTGGTGCCCCCACCATCCCACTGCCCTCTGTCGCGTCTCCCCACTCCTCCCCACCTCCTCATCTCCAGCCATTTGACAACCTTTGTTGGTGCAACCCGGACACAACAAAGTGGCTTATGTTTTGGTTTGCTCCCTCACCTCCTTTCTCTTCAAAGCCCTTCAGGGCAGCTGGGAGTTTCCTGGGGAAAGAAGCATAATAAATGAGAACATGAATAATTAATGCCACCTCTTATTATTTCTCCAGTGTTCAGCACTGATGGAACTGCCCTCAGGGGGCAAGTGGGCATTTGCATTTTTTCCTGGGAGAGGCGGGAGCTCCCAGCTTGGGCCTCAGATGCCAGCGATTTAGTTCAGCCTGAATCCAGGAAGGGAGCACAGCGTGTTCCACAGGTGGCTGTTAAACTCCATAATATGTAGGTGGAGGCCTAGTGACCCTCCCAGGATGATTTAAAAAATAATATCAATTCAATATATTTGTTAGTTCCTCCATGAAGCCTGTTTGCACACACAGTTCATGCTTTCCTGAGAATTCAGAGCAGTAGATAGAGGAAGTAAGATATAGTATTGACCCAATGTTGCAGGTGAACAGGCTGAAGAGGCGATGAGCATTCCCATGTGGTGGGCAGTGGGCTGCCTGGGCTTCACAGCTCTTCTCCATGGCTCCCTTGCCTTGTAGAGTCAGGGAGCTGTGATACTCACTGAGTTTAGATACTCACTAGGGGTCAATCTGCTGGGCAAATGCCCAGCAAATGTAGATGAGCACATACTCTTATGTTCAGTTCTCTGCTGCAAACCACAGGAGACCTGGAAGTACACAGCATTGTCCTGTGGAGGCATCCTGGGATGGTGGAAAAGATCATAACAATAATAGCAATAGAGAGTGGTGGCTACGGAGGTGGGAACCATGGCAGGACAAGCATTTAGAAAGTTTCTTCCACTTGATCGAGTATTGGTAGAAAGGTGTGCAGCTGAAACTGTAACCAAAGGAGGCATCATGCTTCCAGAAAAATCTCAAGGAAAAATATTGCAAGCAACAGTAGTGGCTGTTGGGTCAGGCTCTAAAGGAAAGGGTGGAGAGATTCAACCAGTTAGTGTAAAAGTGGGAGATAAAGTTCTTCTCCCAGAATATGGAGGCACTAAAGTAGTTCTAGATGACAAGGATTATTTCTTATTTAGAGATGGTGACATTCTTGGAAAGTAAGTAGACTGAAATAAATCACTATTGAAATGGCATTGACATGAAGCTGCCCATTCCACTGAAGTTCTGAAATCTTGCATCATGTAAATAATTTCCGTGTCTCTCTTTTATAATAAACTGATGATATCTAAACTGTTGACATCCCATGTCAAAAGTTTAGTTTCACTGTACTGATATAAACATTTCCAAATAAAGATATGTAAATGAAAAAAAATAATAGTAATAATAAGGCTTGGAGCCTGTAGCTCAAGCGGTTAAGGTGCCAGTCACATACACCAGAGCTGGCAGGTTCAAATCCAGCCCAGGCCTGCCAAAGAACAATGACAACTACTACCAAAAAATAGCCGGGTGTTGTGGCAGGCGCCTGTAGTCCCAGCTACTTGGGTGACTGAGGCAAAAGAATTGCGTAAGCCCAGGAGTTGGAGGTTGCTGTGAGGTGTGATGCCATGGCACTCTACCCAGGGGATAGCTTGAGGCTCTGTCTCAAAAAAATAAATAAATAAAATAATAATAATAGTAATTATAACTAATGGCAGCAACTACCATAATTGGGTGCTTCCTCCATGCCCCATACTGCTCTATGCACTTTACAGATCCCTGAGTCATTTAATCTTTATAACAACCCTGTAAGATAGGTCTGTTATTATCCTCCTTTTACAGCTGAGGGAAACTAAAAAGCACAGAGAGCTAAATAACATACCAAAGACACACAGCAGTGAACAGAGGAGCTTGGAATGTGACTCGGAGTGTTTGATTCCATTTACAGCTGAGGAAACATCTATAATGTGACAAAGCTGTGATTAAACCTTATCAGGATGATTTCACATTTTTAAAGTTGCAGGAAAAAACCGTAATCTTGACTTCAGAGCCTATACCTGCAAGCCACACGACCCATCTCTTTGGGTCTCAATGTCCCAAAGAGATCATCCTCATAGACGCATATCTACAGTTTAGTTAGCAGGGATAGCACCCAGCCCTCAAGGGCCTTGCATTCCAATTCCAGAAGCAGCATGCTGTGTCCACACCACAAGCATTCTGGTCCATGTGGTTATAAGTCCCAGGTTGCCACCTCAAATCAAGGCTGGGAAGCACAGGGTCCTTTCAGCAAGAAACAAGGTTGGCTGTGCCTTGGAATGGGAAGAAGCAGGGCTCAGTGTCCTCCTGCCTCCTGGCCCACGTGATTAACTTTCTACTCCATCCATGGTGTCTGGCTGGCCAAGCAATCGGTGTGGACAACAGGACCCCTTCCTGGGGGCTTCTGTTCTCTCAGAGGGGCTGGGATGTTAGGCAGGGGCCTTGAGAAATAACTTTCCAAAGGATCCCTCCTGCAGAAAGGGTAAATTCTTAGGCAATGTTATATTGATGAGTAGAGTCTAGAACATAGACACTGCCACTCTAGTTCCACCTCTGCTATTTGTAGGATTTTTATTTTAACTTAGAAATGTCACAAGTCTCTCTGGGTCTCTGTTTTCTCAATCACAAAATGAGCATTATAGAACCTGCCCTTACTTCCTCAGATTTATCAGGGGAATCAAATGGGAAGGTATGTGAGAGCTCTTTGTTAGGCATTGACAAGGAGTCGTGATCGCTAGTATTATTATTTTATTGTTTTTCTAAAACTCAGAAATATCGGCTCGGTGCCTGTGGCTCAAGGCGCCAGCCACGTGTTACACCTGAGCTGGCAGGTTTGAATCCAGCCCAGGCCCGCCAAACAACAATCACGGCTGCAAACCAAAAAATAACCACGCGTTTTGGCGGGTGCCTGTTATCCCAGCTACTTGGGAGGTGGAGGCAGGAGACTCACTTGAGCCCAGGAGTTGGAGGTTGCTATGAGCTTTGATGCCATGGCACTCTACCCAGGATGATAGCTTGAGGGTCTGTTTCAAAAAAAAAAAAAAAAAAATTAAAAATATCAACTGAGCGCCACTTATTATGTATTAGGCACTGGATTAGGTGCTTTCATACAAAATACCTGTAACATTTTGGGGAGACAGAAGGTAGCCTAGTGTTAGGCCCACATGGGCTGAAAGGGCCCAAGAACCACAAAGCAGGTGGGAGGAGGCCAGGATGAGAACATTCCTGCTCCCTTCCTTTATTGCTTTAATCTACTCATTGGGAAGGAATGAGGTCAGTGGGTGCCTAGGAAGAGCCTGGGCCTCCCATTCCCTCTCGAAGCCTGGTGTGCTGGTAGATTAATACACCTTGCCCCACGTACACTCTCACACACACATTCACAGTCCATACGCATATCACACACACCATACGTGCATAGCCCATTCCAAATTAAACATAGTCTATATACACATGCAGAATCTCTGAAGATGGGGATAGACTTGAGTTTGCATCCTTACAGAAAATGTGGTTGATGTCTTGTTGATTTTTAACTCTCACAAAGACTCAGCCTCATATTACAGCTGTTCTTTTGGGGATGAGTGCAGTGGCTCACACCTGTAATCTTAGCACTGTGAGAGGCTGAGGCAGGCAGATTGCTTGAGCTTAGGAGTTCAAGAACAGCCTGAGCAAAAGCATGACCCCATCTCTACTAAAAATAGACAAACTAGCCAGGTGTTGTGGCAGATGTTTGTAGTCCCAGCTACTTGGGAGGCTGAGGCAAGAAGATTGCTTAAGGCAATCTTGAGGTTTCTGTAAGCTACGCTGCCACGGCACTCTAGCCAGGGCAACAGAGTAAGACTCTGTCTCACAAAACAAACAAACAGACTTGGCGCCTGTGGCTCAAGTGGCTAAGGCGCCAGCCACATACACCTAAGGTGGC